ACTCCACCTAGGCTGCATTTTTGAGCGCAGATCCACTGAGAAACTTGCTGTTTCAGCAACATTTAATTTAAAAACTGTACTTTTGAGGTTAAACATATGTTCATAATTAATTTAAGTAAATTACAAGTTAAAAAGGGCACGGACATTTTTCTTTTTTGTATCGAAAAAATATCGACCCATGAGACTAAAGTATCGAACTGAACCAAATAGTTAATTTTCGCCATTTTTGCTGAAAAATTTGTCCAAAAATTCATCAAGTGTAGTTGCATACAGGGTGAGTCAAAAGTCTCAGGACACCCTTTTAATTCAAAAAGAAAAGAGAAAATGATGTGAATACTCAGCAAGTAATGGGTGAGGTGGGGTCTATCTTTTCGGCTATGTCTAAAACATGGGCGCCATCACCCATTACTTGCTGGGGTTTGAAGAAAACGTCATTTATTCTGTCCTGTGACTTTTGACTCACTCTGTATTTCAAGATCAAGATCAAAAAATGTTCATTTTAGTCTTAAAAATTATGAACAAAACACAGTACCACAGGCTTCAGAGCATAAACAATATAAAGTTAATGTCAATAATGACTAGCTATATAAAAAATAATCATGACCAGATTAAAAAAATTAGACACTGAACAGTAAATAATTCAAATAGCTATTCTGAGCAGTTCATTAAGCTGATTCTAACAGGCCAACACAATCATTCCATTCAAAGGTCACACCCTGAATTTAAATCATAAGAACGTCTTGTTCCTTAAACTGTACAGGAAGGAGGGGTGGTTTAAGTCTTTTTCACAGCGTTGTGTTTGAGCTCCCAGGTCAAAATGGTTTACACAGTCCTGCCACATGACACTGTGTCGTCTCCCTCAGTGTTCTTTAGGATGTGCAATATCAGAGAAAAGAAATGTGTTTTTAGAGAAAATTTGTCAGTCCAAACACGACATGCGCCGAGTCATCTCATCACACAAATACACACACACACACTCACAGGAGCGTGTAGGGTGCCAAACAACATGCCTTCAGCAGATATTTGGTTAAAATCTCACAATATGCATCTCATAACCAGCAAACTTGGTGTGGTTGGACTTTTTGTTGTTGTTGTTTTTATTATTTGAAGTGATCCAAACGTTTAACACCTCACTGAGATTTCCTCTCTGCTGATACACATTCCTGTTACTGTGTGAAACCAAACGAAACCACAATGAGATTTTCTTTTTTCAGTATTTTTAAACTGCATTTCACCAACACTGTGTTTGGTGTTTGCTTTTCTTTCATTTCAGATCTATAAGGTAGAAAACAGGTGCTATTTCCTCTTTTTTTTTTTGGAGTGATGTCAATATAGTTTTTGTCTAAAAGTTCTTTTAACAGACAGAAACAGACACGTTTTACAGCCTCAGTTCCCAAAAGAAGGTGCAACTTTGTGTGAATTGTAAATAAAAGCAAAAAAGTAATGATTTACAAATCTCAAACTTGTTAAAAGAAGCAAAATCACATTTCTCTCCCCCCCC